ACAGAAACAGGGGTTAAGTCACCAAAATAGAGCCTGTCATTCCCTTTTTAATCAGGGTTCATTTTGTTTTTCTTAACCTTTAGCTCCCAGTTGAGGCAGATGTTGGGTTATTCACAGCCTGATTCTATTGCAGGTTACCTGTTAATAAAAGAGTTGTTCCTCTCCCCCGTCACCTTGCACTTCTTCAGAACGAGATTTTGCAGAAATGCATCCATATTACAATGACAGACTTCTACCAATCCCTTTACTTTTTTGTATTTGATCGAAATGGACACTTTGGATCAAATATTAAGATACATGTTTTAACTAAACTCACTAAAAGCATCTTAATTTCACTCCTATACGTTCATTTAATTTGAGCTACCGCCAGATTGCTTTGGTACCATATATATGGAAAGTATTTAATAAAATGGGTTGAACATGTGCGCCTAAATTTGCTCGGTCACAGTGGAGCATCAGCAGATCCACGGTCACGCAAGCACTCAGTGTTCCCCTCATTAACTGGAAGAGAGACCTAAACATCTTTAAACGGCAGCTGGTCACAGTTAACCGCTGGTTAAACAGATTAACTGCGACCAAAACAAAAGATTCTCATTGAAATTGTGCTAACTGAAATCCACCTGTTAAGTTAATCCGTCACAGAGGATTAAAAATGGCTCGTTTTTGTACACACCTGACCGATGATAGAGAAGACGGAGCCCACTTCCCTCTCGGCTAGCGTTACGTCCCCGTGGCTTGTGTTGTTGTAGCTCGCAGAGGCGGGAGGCGACCAGCCAGGGATCAGCAGCTCAAACACCCAAAAAAAAAACCCGACGAGGTAAGCCTGAGTCCTCGGAGCGCAGCGTTGACTCCTCGGCTTTATTTATTTATATAAAATGCCTCTGAGGCGTTTTGAAACACCTTGTGAATGTGCGACTATTGCCCCCAGAGCGACGTCGGCTTTCATAAAGCCACTGGTGTTGAAGATAGACGTCACTGCGCATGCTCACAATCTATCCCCGCCCCTGAGTCGAGGCTTAGCCAATCAGAAGTGCGGGGTTGTTACATAGCCTCTATTACTGTGAGGATGTCAGACTGAGCCTAGTAAAGCTTTCTGTAATAATAACCTTTCTTGCATAAGCCTTCTAGTTTTTTTTTCTGCTGTTGGGTAGATGTTTGAAAAGAGCAAACGCTAGAACCTCTCACCAATGGCAGAGGGTCCTGTTGCCCGCATCATGCTGTGAATTTATGTTATGTATTCAGCCAAACTGCCCCCAAATGGTTATTTCACTGCACTGCTTCCATTAGGTTGAGTCATTGGTGGCATAACGACATTGGCAGGACCAAGATCAATGCAGATGCATTGCATTTTTTCTTTTTCTTTTTTTGCATCTCTTTCGATTTGACTTTGTGTTGCATAATAATTGATAATTGTTATTTAGAGCTTTACATGCACTTTTCATAGGCATGAATACCATATTAATTTTCGAATTATAAAGTGTCAAAAAAGTGGTAATAATACATCAATCACGTTTTTTTGTGTTTCGAAGTTCAAGCAAAAAACACGTTCATCAATGAATTAATAAACATGCAAATAAAATTTTTTTAAGTTTTATCTGAAATAAAGAAAAAAAAACCTCAAAAACATTTCCATAAACCCATCATGGGTAAAGATAAAGTAATTTTGGGCTGTTAAAGATGGTTTTAGCTTTTTTTTTTTTTAGAGGATTTTTTGAACCAATACAGAGTTAAAGCTACACAACCAGGTTCAAATGCACATGCATCCCTACTAATATTAAAATTTTATGCCTCCCACTTCATGATAAAACACAATAACTTTGGAGTGATTAGCCAGCTTGATTGTTCCATACTGAAAAAAAAATAAAGTCAAAGTAAGTCATTTAATTGCAATTTTTGTTGAATTAAGCAGGTGAGAGGGTTTCTTTGTCAATAGAATAAGGCCATTAACATTTATAACAAGACAAAAACAGCTACATTCTCCTAGTTCAAGTGCATAATATCTACAGTACTAATCATATCTACTCATTCCATTGGTATATCATCTTATTTACCTTGGCAAATTTTTTACTAATTTTTAGATAATTTTTTGTAGCATAGCAACCCATTTTTCAGAAGTGTTGGTGTCTGTTTAAACTGTCTGGTTTTGCCTTTAAGGCAAATCCATAAAGTTTAAAGGTGAGGCTTGTCAGTACCTGTCCAGAAGACCAATGTCAGCTTGCTTTATCCTTTCCAGAACAAGTTTTTATGCGTGGTTGCTATCCATTTGTTGTTGCATCTAAGGGGAATCCACCAACCCTTAATTTTATTAACTCTTGCAGTGCATTGGTTCCCATGGCAGCAGCCCTATAGTATGATGCAGTCCCTGAGCAGGATGTTGCGACAGCCGTGTTTGACAGTTGGTACAGCGTTCTTAGGTTTAAATGCCTCAGCTTGATTTCTTTTGTGACTAAATAGATCTTTATCTAGTCTGACTTAAAAACATTTCTCCAGGAAGGTCGCTGGCTAGTTTATATGGACACCCATAGATTTTAGTCTGCTTAAATTACCGGTAGTGCCAGTCTAAAAGAAGCAGAATGAGCATCATTCAGACACCACAACGATGTTAAAGTTTTTTTGTTATTTAACATTTTAGTCAATTTTCTTTTCTTTTTTATGTTTTACTGTATAAATTAATCTGAACTGACTTCAGACTTCTTTCAGTTTCTCCACACTGTGAACATTGTTCGCCCCTGAGCAGCTAATTTCATTTAATCTCAGGAGGACATATTGGGTCACAGATATTTATTCTAACCAAAGAATTGTCCCAAATCACACAAGCTTTTATTCAAAAGATTAGAGTTTGAGTATCCAGCCAGCATTGTTACAGGACTTTGCACATGGCTCACAAGGTATTCTGGTTTCTTTGCAATTTGCTGAAGGTAAAAATCCAAATGTGGGAGAAAGTGAATGTGTGTGTATATATAATATATATATATATATAAATATATATATATATATATATATATATATATATATATATATATATATATATATATATACACTCACCGGCCACTTTATTAGGTACACCTGTCCAACTGCTCGTTAACACTTAATTTCTAAGCAGCCAATCACATGGCGGCAACTCAGTGCATTTAGGCATGTAGACATGGTCAAGACAATCTCCTGCAGTTCAAACCGAGCATCAGTATGGGGAAGAAAGGTGATTTGAGTGACTTTGAACGTGGCATGATTGTTGGTGCCAGAATGGCTGGTCTGAGTATTTCAGAAACTGCTGATCTACTGGGATTTTCACGCACAACCATCTCTAGGGTTTACAGAGAATGGTCTGAAAAAGAAAAAACATCCAGTGAGCGACAGTTCTGTGGACGGAAATGCCTTGTTGATGCCAGAGGTCAGAGGAGAATGGCCAGACTGGTTCGAGCTGATAGAAGGGCAACAGTGACTCAAATAACCACCCGTTACAACCAAGGTGGGCAGAAGAGCTTCTCTGAACGCACAGTACGTCGAACTTTGAGGCAGATGGGCTACAGCAGCAGAAGACCACACCGGGTGCCACTCCTTTCAGCTGAGAACAGGAAACTGAGGCTACAATTGGCACAAGCTCATCGAAACTGGACAATAGAAGATTGGAAAAACGTTGCCTGGTCTGATGAGTCGCGATTTCTGCTGCAACATTCGGATGGTAGGGTCAGAATTTGGCGTCTACAACATGAAAGCATGGATCCATCCTGCCTTGTATCAACGGTTCAGGCTGGTGGTGGTGGTGTCATGGTGTGGGGAATATTTTCTTGGCACTCTTTGGGCCCCTTGGTACCAATTGAGCATCGTTGCAATGCCACAGCCTACCTGAGTATTGTTGCTGACCATGTCCATCCCTTTATGACCACAATGTACCCAACTTCTGATGGCTACTTTCAGCAGGATAATGCGCCATGTCATAAAGCTGGAATCATCTCAGACTGGTTTCTTGAACATGACAATGAGTTCACTGTACTCAAATGGCCTCCACAGTCACCAGATCTCAATCCAATAGAGCAGGATGTGGTGGAACGGGAGATTCCATCATGGATGTGCAGCCGACAAATCTGCGGCAACTGTGTGATGCCATCATGTCAATATGTCAAACTCCCTGAGGAATGCTTCCAGCACCTTGTTGAATCTATGCCATGAAGAATTGAGGCAGTTCTGATGGCAAAAGGGGGTCCAACCCGTTACTAGCATGGGGTACCTAATAAAGTGGCTGGTGAGTGTATATATATATATGTTTATATAATTCAAACCCTGTATGATTTGTAAATAATAAAAAAAATAATTAATTTGAGCTAAAAGCATCAAATGCTAATTTACCTTAGTTATGTAGATTAAAACCAAACCCTTAAGTTTATGTGTTGTTTTAGAATTTCCTTCTATACTGACTAAAATGTATAATTTGCATTTATTTTTGCTGATTTTTATCACATCAAGGCATATCCAGTGTGTAGACTGCAGAATATATAAACTAATTTTTGTAACTTTTATATCTAACTTTCAGTACAACATAATTTCCAAAGAATATATTTTTGCTATGTTGATTTTCAACATTCAACTGAAAAATAACAAAGTTTAATTCAAATTAATAAAAAACAAATTGAGTACATAAACGGAACAAGATTAATTATAGAGACCAACATACTTTCATCCTAAATTCAACAAATAAAATACAAAGCCTATCTTTTCTTTTTATTTATTGTTTTATATAAGGAAAAAAACAACTAAATAAAACCACTGAATGCAATAACACTGCAGGAAACAGCTTTTTGTCTAAACATAGGTAAACTAAATGTAAGTTCATCTTCCATGTGAACGATTTCAATGTGCAAAAAAAAAAAAAAACATGGTGTTGAATACAAACATATTCCTTGGGTTTCAAGTGAAAAACATTGTTTAAAGCAATTTTGATTTCCTTCCTCTTCACCATTATGCATAACTTAAAACTGGTCATTAAGTCACGAAAGAATAACAAAGGTTTATAGTTTTTATTGTATGCACAAAAGGTGGGAACGCTTTTGTGAGTGCAAAGTAAGACCTATTTCACTTATAAAAACTTAAAAAATAAAATGTTTGAGTTAAAAACCATAAAGAGAAGAACTGCAGGTCCAAGTGAGTCATGTTGGATCCCCCTCACCTGACTGAAGTATTGCTTAAAAGACCATCATCAATATTTGTTTGATTGAAACATTTTCTCACAGAAACAGAATTTGAAACTCAGTGAAATTGGCGAAACTTACGGATCTTTAATAGAGTGACTTCACAAAGGTCCAACTACGCCATACATTTTACTGTGCGACTGAGTCAGCATGCTCGTGTACACCGAACCATCATGCTACAGACTTAATTCAGCATAAAAACAGTCAGTTATTTGTCCACAGTACTCTAGGAATCACCTTTTCCTACCAAACTGTTAACATAATTTTTGATATCACTGAAATATATAAACATTTAAAATAATTCAATATGCTAAACATTAAGAGGAACAAAATAAGACAGGAACGCCTTCAACAAATGTTCAGGTTCTGTTGTTGCTTCATCATCCAGCACAGCACAGATGATACCAACTCAATGCAGGATATGTAACTATTAACTATACATATATACAAACACACTGGTTTCCACCAGTGGTGAGTAAGGTGTGGGTATCTACAGGGCCTTTATACATGATCAGAAAATTGTAGTGCAAGCTAATCCAACGTCACATATTTCAAACATGCATTAGTTCTCATTGTTTGGTGTGATAAAAAAAAAAAAATGTCTTTGTCCTGAAACTTGGCTCGCTACCTTGAGTAGCAAGCCAGGGTTCTGTCTCTAAAGGAGCGCGTACGTTGATGGTAAAGCTGCTTCCATTAAGACTTGTGTCGGTTCGTGTCTCATTTTTTTACTTTATTTTAGGTAGTAATCCTTTTTTCTGAAGACAGAAACACAAGGAACTCTTCTGTTGTGGATGAAAGTGTCACCCAGCGAGCTGATCGCGTCTCTGCAGCAGTCCTTTAATATCCAGGGACAGTTTCCTGATGCAGCTGAAGGAGTGCAGAAAAAAGTGTTTCCTGTGTTTTTACAATGCCTATGTTGTAATTCAGTTGTGGTTCTAAGTGTGCAGAGCCTGCGGTATGGGTGAGGTGGCTGAGTAATTAGACGTGCTAACCGAGGAAAAACTACTGAGAGAATCCGGCTCTGTTTTATATCACGTTTTCAAACAGCTGCATTGAGTTCATGATGTTCTCGTCCTGTGAAGATAAAAAAAAAAAAAAAAAAAAATAACAAAGTCAGAAACTAAGATTAAGGATTTCCTTTGGAACATTTCAAGAAAAGAAAAAAAAAAACTTTTTTATGAAGTACATACAGCCAAGTCTGCAGTGCCGGGAAACAGTATTTTCCCCCTTACAGATTTTATTTTCTTTTGCTTTTTTGTTACACTTGCACGTTTCAAATTTTGATATGTTTAAACCCATGCTATAATTTATGATTTAGATTTTTCATTCAACCTTTTTTGGACGCTGTTGAGTAACACTCCCTTTTAATGTCATACTACAGAATCTCACTTAGTTATAAAACCAGACTATGAATAGGACACATGAAAACCTTTAGCTCGTTTATCACTATGAGTTGTTTGGAGTCAGTCAGAGGTGTACTTTACTTGCTGTTGTCCTCTGTATTACGACCGTTCCTGTAGGTTTTGTGGTAAACATTTGGTTAATGATGCTAATACAGTTATTATAGGTCATTCATCCTTGCTAACATCAGACTCTACAATGCAACACTATAACGGCAATAACTTGTGCAGTATCTAATTTATAATTACTATTTAATACCCTGTGCAATAACCTGTTTTTATATTTGATACCCAGTGCAATAATAGCTATATATATATATATATATATATATATATATATATATATATATATATATATATGCACTGCATATACTGTATATACCCCATGCACCATTTCCTCCTTTTGGCACCTTCTTTTTTTTTTTTTTTTTACTATTGAGCAAATGTAATGAGTGAATTTCTCCATTGTGAGATCAATAAAGTCAATCAATCGATCAGTTAAAGATCTTTATGGGTTTCCTAATCAGTGAACAGCCGGATCTGCCTGAAAAGTCTGTATGTTTGTAAGGGGACAAATCTAAAGCCATTTAAAAAGATAAGTGGTGTTTAAACTCTAGAAGGTTCCTTAAAGCAAGTTGGTACAATACATTTCTAAGCCTGTGGACAAGTTTTTGCTTGAATTTTGTTTTTATATAAAATATGTTGTGAGTCTACATAGTCTTCTGAACAAATCAGAGAACTTTATTCTTGCATTTTCAGCAGCTGGTGGGTTTTTATTTGAGCTGTCCACCCATTAGTTGGACGTGATGGAGAAAGGACTTTTACCAGGACCTGAGGAGATACTGGAGGGGAAGGACTTGCTAAGGAGGTCTTGGAAACCTTTTTAAATGAAGTTAGATCATTGATTGTAAAAATAACTCTTATCCTTATTGTGTTTTTGTTTGTCAGTACATAAAGTACCTAAAAAAAAAGGATGAATCACAGTCCTATTTGCTCACATGGAGCCTATACTTATTGTCCCAGGTATATCCTAATTATAGTGTGCACAACAGTATGGCATTATTATTGTTTACTTGTGCATTAATATAATGCATGTTTTCCTTCATAAAGTATGCTATATTTATGTGAACTTGGACAATACAGCCTTTAAATAGCAGCGGTGAGAGAAAAATTAGAGGCTGTACATGTTTCTCTTTTCATGAGCCCATAAAAACACTTTATGTTGTAGTTTGTTGAATTGAAAAAAGTGTCATAATTTACAGGACTGCCATATGAAAATGTTAATAGACACCATCAACATTAACTGCCACCGGCTTTACAAAATGAAAACACAATCAAGTAAACAAAAATCTGGATTTGGTGTCATAAAATATAGACTATATAAGCCAGAGGTTACCAAACGTTTCACCCTGTGACCCCAAATAAAACAAAGCAGCAAAATGGCGACCCCCGTAAAATACATTTAAGTACTTCATTCTAAGTTTCTTTATACAAAGAAGTGAAGTAACTGTTCATTTTGAAATTAATTCTTTTTTTTCTGATTAATATTCTATCATCTAATTATTCAATGAAACATCTAATTATTCAACCATTTATTTGGCCATTTAGTGCTTCATTTAATATTTTAATCATATGATAAAACAAATAAATGACACTTATTCCATGGTACATTTATTTATTTCATGAGACACACATTTATGTATTTAATTTTATGCTTTTGGCCCTTCATAAACCTCAAGGATTGCATGACAGTGTCTATGAAATACCATCAAAAAGGCCAGTATCAAGCTTACATTGACGTTCAATCAGGGACTTTTATCCATGTTGAATTTACCAGAACTCCAGACAGAAAATTATGTTTCTTCTTATTTAACTGTCATAGCATTACTATTTTTCCACAGTGATCATAACGAAAAGAGAAAATACAACATAACATTATATGATAAGAGCATAACCATATTTAAATTTGTTTATTTTTATTTTATTTAAAAGGAAATATAGTTTATATGAGAACAGGGAGAGTTGTTTCAAATCAAGATTTGAATCTGATAGATAATCTATGGAGAGAGCTACAGATTAGTGTGATGCAAGGAGGCCATTCGACCTAAAAGACTTGGGCCTCTTAACAAAACATGCTAAAGCTTATCAGCACTGCTGTAATTTGTTGCATTTATTATTGGGGAATCAATTTAAATAATTCACTGTGTCATTTTAATTGACATGTAAGTAAAAAGGAATTATATTTTAAAATCTATATGCTTGTGAGTCACCTTCTGACAAGTCTCGATGAATTCCTCAATAGTCACCACTCCATCTCTGTTTTTGTCCATTTTCTGTTGGAAGAAAAACAACCATAAGGAGGATGAATGTGTCAACATGTGCTTTTTTTTCAATGCACTTTTTAATAGACTAGTACTTTTTAAAGACATAGTGTATTTAGAACCTGGAAGAACTTGTCAACATGTTCTGATGGTGCATCATCCCGTACACAGGGGTACGTGTACCTCCCCATCATGTCATAAATGGACTTCATGATTGCAAGCATCTCCTGGAAAATAAAGTCATAGACGACAGGAAATGACTATTTGTGACCCAATTCTACCATCATAAAACTCTCAGCCTCTTAAAGTTTCCTTGCAAAACTCACATCAGTAAAAAGCTATATCTAAATAAACATACTTTACCCCAAATCTCAGGATTTACTTGGGATACTAGCTTATCAAGTTTGAAAAATGACATATTTAACATTAGCAGGCGTATATTCACTCTGACAGAGATTCTCCCTAATGAAGCTGCCTGCTATAGGGTTGCTTCATACTGCTTATGGATTTAGGCTCTGGGTCGGGGTGCTACCCAGTAATTTTCTTAAACTACCAAAAGTCTCCCGAAAATAAGGCTGGTTTTATAACGTGGATAAATAACACGAGGTGGCTTGAATATACCATATGTATATTTCATTAGAATCAACTCGCCCAAGTGGGGATCAGAACTATAAAGAATAAAAATAATCTGTAATATAAAGAATCAGAAATAAAACATCAGTTAAATTATAATACATTTAGCAACTGATGACTATTTATATTTATAGAATATGTCTATTTGTCCCACAGTGGGGAAATTGTGGTGTTACAGTAGCAAAAGATTATAGCAAGAAAAATGTATAATAGCCATGTAATTAGCCATATCATAACTGATAATATTATAATCAAATGCAATGATGAAGTTGCATGGATTGTTTTGAGATTTAAACAGGGTAAAAATTGGAAGAACACGGAAATTAAATTAACCTGGACACAAAATTACAAACCGTAGCCTGAGCTTATACAGGCTGGTCTGTGGATTGATATTGAACTATTTAAACGCCCCCTGCTGGTGAGTAACTTTTAAGCCACACATTAATATTAATATTAAACAAACATATTAATCTAAATGGTATGGGGGCAATTTACAACTAAATACATTTTTTATGTAAAACTTAATTTGCATTTTAGATAATAAATATAAGCAGGTTTTCAGCTCCGTAATATTCACTGGAGAGACTGTAAAAGAGAACCAAACATAAAGTACTGTTCAAATATCAAAGCACAGTTCAAACAAAATAAATATGTAAGCAAGTTCAATATTTGTGTCCCTCATGTCAAAAAGTAGCATTAATATAAATTTAATTAATTACACAGACTGAAATATTCACAGCTTTTGTTTTTTTTGTCATTTTGATAATTATGATTTAAAGATCATAACCACTGAAGCTTTGACAGTGTCCTTTTAAAAACAAAAACAACAACAAAACAAACAAAAACAAATAAAATCAGCATTCCCATAAAGTTTGTCAGAGAAAAAAACCAAGCAGTGCACTGACATTTCCTGATAGTAAACCAATAACTGACTAACTGTAGAGATATCACACAGTCGTCTCAAGGTTGTTGTTACTACCTGTGCTACTATTACTTCCACTTTACCCAAGGCAATAACCTTTGGATTTATCATCTCTGAGCAACAATGAATCTTTTTAATTATAAGAGTTTCCCCTTTCGAAACTAGTGACAAACATTATTGAGCTGTTAGTTTGATCCCTTCAAGTGAATGCCCCTAAACCTTTACAAAAAATATGAATTGTGCCTGAAAATGCTGATTGATTTGATTAGTTGTCTAATAATTTGATATGTAATTATTTAAGGAAACTTGTATAAATAGAAGTAAATAATAATAATAATAATAATAATAATAATGAAATTGAACAAAGCTACATAGGTTTTAAAAAATAAGCTCTGGAAAGTTTCCATAATTGTTTTTCTGATATTATGTTTCTTTATGTAATGGATTTTCCTACAAGGAGCACAGAGGGAATAAATATGGGCAACAGGCGCTTTTTCTAAACCGATATTGTAATAAACTTATCATGTTTTAATTTTGAATTCATAAAAAAAAAAAAAAAAAAATTTGTGTAATGCAGCCAGTCCTCATTAAACATTTAATATATCTCCTGTAACCCACACTCACCTCTTTGGTGATGTAACCGTCCTTATTGATGTCGTAAAGGTTGAAGGCCCAGTTGAGCTTTTCTGTGACTGAACCTCTGAGCAGGACTGACAGGCCAATGACAAAGTCCTCAAAGCGGATCGAACCGTTTCTGTCGATGTCAAATGCGTTGAAGAGGAAGTGAGCGTAGGTGGATGCATCTGTGGACATGAAGAGCCATTGATTGGTTCTGCTGCCTTTACTAGCAGCGTGGGACAAAACAGGTACACGTACAGGACAGATATGACAGAGAGAGATAACGTTAAAGCTGCAAAGAAAGGCATTTCTAAGGAGGGGGTGGGTTTTAAGCAAATTTGGACATTTAGTTGCATTCTACAGGGCCATTAGGATTTGTTATGGGCTAAGATTTCTTCCTGTAATGTTACTTTTTCTATAATGGCTGAAGCTGTGGATACTGGAGCATGCAACAGATTCTGAGGGATTGATCTCTGCAGCTCCCACAGAGTGACCATCGGCTGCTTGGCAGCTTTTTTGATTGATGTTCTTTTTGCTAGCTTTGCCAATTTTTGTTATAAATTAAGAGCCATATTCATAACCTTTTAGACCAGTGCTTTCCAAAAAGTTCATCCTGCCACCTCCCTTTAGTTTGCAAGAAAGTTTTTGTCAGGGTTTGGTTGAGGTTAAGGTTTTGAGGACCCAGATCCAGAGGCAAGGAGGCAGAGGTGAGGATTTAATTGAAATTAACTGAGGCAGGAATGCAAAAATCCAACATAAATGTACAGAACGAACCAGAACCATGGAGATACCAGGGAAAACATGCACAAGGAGCCAGGGAAAGACAAGGAACCAGCACTGAGGAACTGCACAGGGAGAGTATTTATGGCTGAGTTACAAAGGCAGGACTAATGAGCTGATTGGGAGCAGGTGTGAACAGAGGCTTCTAGAAAGGAGCTGGGGAAAAGGAGACCAACACAAGAGGGCAACAAAGAAAAACCTCAGAACTCAAATATATCCAGAAAACACAACAAAATAGGAATTAAACCAATAAAACAAGAAAACATGGAGCAAAGTAAAACTGAACACTCAAAAGAAAACCTAACAGAACCAAGACCGTGACATTTTTTTTTCAACTCATAAGTAGCTACCAACCCATCATCCCAACCTTTTCAACAGTTTAACAAAGAAAAGTCAGGTACAGTAAATAAAAAATAAAATACAATACTTTTAAATAAAAAAAAATATCACCTTTAAAGTGAAATTATATTATTTCTAATTGCTTATTTTACTTTTCCAGAATATAACATCACTTTCAATATTTTAATACTTTTAAAACTGGGTCATTCATTCAATTAATGTCGACAAGCTGTTTCCTGACACACTGTCACTTGGTCTTCATGATGCTGTTTGTTTGCCTGTATTCTCCTATAACCTAAATGGCCTTTGCAGAAAACCAGTTTGTTTTTTTAAGCGAATTTAAATTACAGACTTGAAATCTGTTTGCTTATTCGGTGTCTTCTGAGGAAACTTGTTTCCACATATTTTTTGTGGAATCAGAGTAAAGGGAGCTGAGTTTAAATGTTTGCCTTGATTTCTACTAAATCTAAATTGCAAACAAAATTAATATTCCACTAAATAATTATGCTCTACTGTTTGTTGGTCTATCACAGGGGTTCCAAAGTGTCCATTAGTGGCCTCTGGAATAATTTTGTGCAGCTACCCACTTTCATTCAAAAATGGTTTGACCCATCAGTACAGGAGGTTCATGTAGAATCAGACTTATATTTTGCTAGGGAAAATTTTTTTATAGAAACCTTATAATTTGTTTATTCTGTTAGTATTTAATTCACATTTACCATAAATTTGCCTAAATGCCTAAAAATGGCAACAAAAAAACATGTTATTTTCTGCACTTAAAAAAATTAACTGGGAGAATATTTTGGCAAATCTTTAATCCTTTTTAAGTTTTGGCTCTTTAGTAATGTACATACCCCTTTCCTAAGGAAAATCAAACTGCTTTAGTTGATTAAAATGTTGCATGCCCATATTTTGTGGAACAGGTTAAACAGAAATATTTCAATTTTCTGACAATTTTAAACCATTTTATATATTTCTTTTGACTTGAAATAAACAATTTAGATACTTCTGCTCTTAAATGTAAAATCTTACCAAGACACATCAAGTTTTCTGTTTATAACATTCTTAAATGTGAGAAAACATCAAAGGTGTGTGCATCCTAATTAGATGAAAGACCTTGAACACCCTCCATTTCACTGAATACATATTTTTACTGACAGTCCCTTAAAGGACAAGAAAGAAGCAATGGTTTTAGTATCTAACCTCCTTGGGGAAAGAACTGAGAATAGATGGACTTGAACGTCTCCTCATCAACCATCCCACTGGGACACTCCTGCAGATGAAGGTCAAAAAAGGAGAAACAGTTTACTAAATACAAATTAATGCTCCTATTAAAAGCATTGCGATAAAAGCATCAGAAAATGTCCTCGCCACAGCTTGACGTACGTTTTTAAAGCCTCGATAGAGAGACTGAAGCTCCTTCCTTGTAAACTTGGTCTGGGCCTGCAGCTGGTCCAGCCCCTCAGGCTGATGACGCACCGTCGACAGCTCCAGGTCACTGTCGCTGCTGTCTGTGGGAGCAAGAGATGGAGGGAAGACAGGGATGGATAGACAGACAGGAAGAAGGAGAGAAGAAGCGACGCAGAGGGGGAAAGATGAAGAGAGAAAAGGGGAGGATGGGACAGACATCGAGTGAGTGAATGCAGGCTAACGATTGAGGGTGAGGGTGGGTTCACACCTTTAACAGGGAGGAAGGAAGGAAAACGTGCAAGTTTAAAGGGAAGGATAGGCAACAATCTGCTAAGGATCAAAAGACGGAAGGAGGGAAGAAAAGAAGAGGAGGAGGTACTTTCTTTCAGGTGGAAATGTCAGCAAAATAGATTTTGTTTGTCAAAATTTCACTCATCTTCAAACTTAAATCACAACCAAAATATTCAGAATTGCAGTTTTATTGGCCGGCAGTTCAAACAGGCTCAGAGAAAGCACTACATAAGTAGGAAAAATAAAAAGCTGGGAAGCTTTCTCCAGATAAGCTGGGGTTCTCTTGCTCCATACTCACCATCTTTAGACAAAGAGAACAGAGGAGGAGGAATTGGTGTTGACACCGAGATGAATTGATAGAGAGTAAATGGAGAACAGTGGGAGAGTGACAGTAAGAAGAAGGAAAAACAAAACAAGAGAAAACAAGTCAGATGGTCAGAACCTAAGAGGTGTAATGGAGAGGAGAAAATTTCCACTTCAAACACCCAACAGAGCAGTGACATATTAGACACTGGGAAACATTAGCCTGAATCAACAGTACTGGAACTGAAGGTGGGAGGATCTGATTTTATGTCGTATCACTTCATTCCTTTTGGGTCAATTGGTTCAAGGAAAAATGAAACATACATGATGCAACTCCAACTGAAACTATGCATCCTTTAATGTAAGATGTATTTCTTTTTTTTTTATTTGTCCATAGATTTAACATTAAAAATAATAAAAATTTATACTATCAGCCATTAATTTCACCCCTGATTACATGTATTTAAAGCCTTGAAATGAACATGACTCCTGCTGTCACTGTGTCAAAATACACTGGGAATGTATGTTCTGCATATTCTTGGAGAGAAACACACAGGAAAGATTTGATCCTGCAGTTCCGCTCCGTCATACAAAAAAAGAGAGTTGAACCTGGTTTATAGATCAACTTTATGAATGCTACCCATTTACACATGTTTCCTTTTTACATGCAAACCATTTGAATTACTTGCATATAAAATTAATGACTTCCATTTCTTAAAGAAGGAATACATAATAAACACACCCAGTGTTTCAAATTGGAACAACACACAAAACTCAGCCCACATGACTGTGCTCCTATGGCAAAATCATGGACAGATAGGAAAAGGCCATCTCTAAACTGTTCCCACTATTATGCTAAAGCATCATGACTTCCTTTCACGGAAACTAAAAACAGTGTTGCTAAAAACAACATGATGACCTAATCCCCATCCAACAAACTTTGCACTTGGCACAATACATTCAGACTGGTACTGTTCACCTGGCAACCCCCAAACACAGACTCATCCACCAGGATGCCAGGTAAAGAAAGGGAATTTCTTTCCTCCAGAGCACGTTGCTCCATCTCTCTAGAATGCACTTGCAGTTATTTCCATCAGTGCATCCGATGCCTTGCATTGGCATGTATGGGATTGGATGCAGCCGTTCAGCTATGGGACTCATCTTTGCACACTATTCTGAAGGTCAAATAAACTTTAATGGAAGGTTGGGGACCTTTGTGCATTACAGTTTATGTAGCCTACCACCTGTTGGCTTTGCTCCTGTCGTTGGTAGTTTACCTGGAATATATAGAAGCGAGGACATTTCACAACTGGACTTATTCCACAGGTTTGCATTCTAGAACAGAATTTACTGAACTCCTGCAAAAAATGTTTTCCACTTTATTTTTATAGATTTTTTACAGGTATACAACAAGAACATGACAATGATTAATGTCCTTTAGTGAGTCATTTAGCACTTGTCAAAAAAAAAAAAAAAAAACTCCTGCAAGATTTAAAAAAATGTTTTTGCAAACAGTCTAAATGGATATCAGCTTTGGTTTGATTACCTTTTACTATTAAAAGGGGTTTTCATGTACAGTAAAAAAGAGTGTTACTTTAACACCTACAGAGTTGAATATACCTCAGTTTCAAAAAACATTAGGTCCCACTCCAAACTACTGTAAATTTACTCTATAGCAATTGTCAACTTTTCAAAGTTAATTTAACAAATTTTATCATCAAAATCCAGAAGACTTAATATATTGGCAGGTAATTAACACCATCAAAGTTACACTGCATGGCAGTTGAATTTTTCATTGAATATTAACAATCTGAGCAGATTTACACTCAATGCATGCTTTCAGCAATATAGTGTTTAATACTTCTGAACAGTTTCAAGAACTTTCTTACAAAACCAGAGCAAGAGCAAAAAAGCAAAAATTAAATCACAAGGTACTATAACATTTAATAATGGAGAATAAAATGTGAAGCGAAGAGAGAAAATGAATAGAGAAAGTCTGCAGAGATAACAGATCAAAGACCCTATTCTCCTTCTGCTTGAAGCTTTTTGAAATAAAATAACACTAAGAGGTGAGCTTGTGAGCTTTTGACAATAATAACAGGGGTGCCACTAATTATATAATTATCCAACAAAATTATCTATAAGTGTTGAATTTATTTTCCTCTCACTGAATAAATGTCATCAAATCAAAATGTATTTTTCTAATGTATTTTCATCCAAATCATAAACGTAAGACACACACAAACCTTTTTTATTTTCAAATAAGTTTGCAAAAACCATGAAACTAGATTACCTCAGTAGCCATGCTGACCTTTGGACCTGCTTCTTACCCTGTAGTGTAACTTTGCTCTTTTTGCACTCAATTATTTTAGTACATTTGAGGTTTTTTTTTGTTTTGTTTTTGCTAAAAGGTCCACCATACACAGACAAATGGACCACATGGCTTTCAGCTGTTTCACTCCTTGCTCCAAGTTAGTCTTTAACAAGAGACTAAAATGACTGGAATGCTGCTGATGGTCCATAGTTAAAAGTCAAAATCCAAGAGTCTAGAAGAAGAAGAGCGGCCCAGAATCCATGCTGTTTGAGGTCCAGTGTAAAGTTACAGTCAGTGAGGGTTTGGGGGCAGTACAGGGCCTGGTGTAGGTCCACAGTTTTCTCTGAGGTCTGAGGTCAACCAAACTCTCTACCAGGACTTTTTAGAGCACCTCATGCTGTCTGGTGCAGACATGGAACCTGCCCACAGAATCAAAGTCAGTACCTGGTGTAAAGACCATGGTAGCCCTGTTTTTAATTGGCCTGGAAACTCACCTGACCTTATGCTCATAGAAAATCGATGGGGTATCATGAAAAGGAAGAGGCAATACACCAGACCTAACAATGCAGAATAGTTAAGGGCTCTCAGAGCACCTGGGCTCTCATACTGTAACACCTGAGCAGTTCCACAGACTGATTGACTCTATGCAGCACTGCACTGGTGCAGGAATCTTAACTAAATACTGAGTGCTGTACTTGTTCATACTTTTCAGTTGGCTGACTTTTTTTAGAAGCACTTTTTTTGTATTTGTCTTAAGTAATAATCTTGTTTTTCGAGACTCTGAAGTTTTTTTTTATTAGTTATAATATAATATAATCAACATGAAAATAAATAAATACGTATATCAGCCTGTGTGTAATGAATGTCTATTACATACAATTTTCAATTTTTGAATTTATTACTGAAATAGATCAACTTTGCCATGATATTCTAATTATATGACCAGCCATTATATGAACTGTATGTCACAGAAGGTTTCTGTTGCAGCCAACAATGAATTCAGACATTATATTCAACAGCGTCTCATATTTTCTGTTTTTCTTCACTTTCAAAGTGTATATTTTCTGTGGAGTCCACCTTCTTTTCTTTGGACTGCAGAATTCCTTTTTATATTAAAACAAAAGGTTGTGTTTAGGGAAATCCCCTGCCTCTTTGCTGCTTTTTTTACATGATAACTTTGCCCTAAACTTGATTTTAAACTTAGTTTATGTTGGGGAATCGCATTTAAGGCAATTGCTGGAGAAAAATCTTTTGTGAATCACTGTGGCATTTTAACTTACACTCTTTAATAAAATCTTTAAACAAAAGATTTCAATTTTTTTTCAAAACTGAATCACAAAGGACAAGAAACAATAACTTCCAAACTGTATGTTCAGAAAATAAGTAACCAGGGCTAAAAAAACAAAAATTTTCAAAATTAATCATCAATTGTTTTTCCAGTAAAACTATATAAGACAGCTACTTTCCAAAAAGTAAAAAGGTAAATTTTCACAAATTGAAAATTCAAGGTTCTGTCTACAACGCATCAGTAACTCTCCAGGAACTAACCAGGCTCTGTCTGAAATCTACCGGTAAGTCTCCTGGAACTTCCATGACTTCCAGGTTACTAGATACTGTAGCTTATTGGAAGTTACCAGGTTCTTTCCTGCAACATTGTACTCTTTTAAAAACTGATTCTTTCCTGGGACCTAACTGGTTCTTCCTTAGATCTTATCCAGTGATCTGTTGTAAAAGACAAGATGCTTTTCAAAACTTCCCAAAAACAATGTCATTTTCTTACACAGAAATGATTTGCCATAGCAAATGAGGAAAATCCTCGCAGACAGGCATCTTTAAATCTGTTCTTCAGACCCAGCTCCTCTAATAAACCAGTGAGAAGTGTTAATATATATTTTATTTACTTTCTTCTTCTCAATGGTTCATTTGATATTCTTACTTTTACTTTATTTAAACATCTTATTTCTACTTTTAATTCTTAGTTTATTTGTTCTAAAACTTTGATGTTTTTATTCATTTTAATCATTCATTCCTTTTGTTTAGCACTGCCTGTCAGTGCCTGCTGTGTCTTAAAGTTGGCTTGGCTTTCAGGGACCTTACCAGGTAAGGAGAACTTCCTGTTCAACATACTTTATGTACTCAACAGGTACTTTGTTTGAAATCACATTCTCTGGAACTTATTTGCTTATTGCTGAGAGCTTCGCAAAATCTTTGGGGAAGTCTCAAAGAAAGAAGCCTCTTGGGAGGCTGGTATTTGTAATTTTTATGAAAGGGGAGTCTGATTTTCAGGAGAAAAATCTCTGTTAGTCACTTCTAGCTTCTGCTTATTAAATGTCAAAACTTCCTCAGTCTAATATTTGTCTTTTTCCAGAACGAGGAAAATCTTCTATATAAGAGGTTGAAAGAACCTTTTTAAAAGTTACAAAACTTTTTCAGCATCAGTCATCAAACAACAGGTAACTGTGGTTTTCACTTATTCCAGTTAATTCAGTGACTTCCAATAAGCAGATTAAAAAGATATTCAATTAGGAAACAACAAATATGCGTGTTTTCCCTCTACTAGAGGTTTTAAACTGAATAGTTATACAGTAGGTCATATGAGGACACCTCTCATTGTGTGCGATTGTGACTATCAGTGAGATTTCTAAGGATTAAAGCCATATCTTCATCCATCTATCTCTGTGCTG